AGAAATCATCGAACGTAACTGATGCCGAAATATCTTATTCCTTCATATAGCGGTTCAGTCATAAGCCTGTTGCTACTCTGAACAGTCTGATCATTTCTTCCGTGATACTGAGAGATTCCAATATTCACAAACATCACTTCAATTCACATTCCGTGAGCGCTTCTTCTCTCGGCTCGTGGGGGCAGACGCCTCAGAGACTGCTTCCAACGTTACCGTTCTTGTGTCAGCATCTGAGCGTCGGCAGAAGACAACCAGAATCTGGCACAGTCTCCTTCAATACACTTGCACTAAGTTCATCTTGGCATTCATCCTGGGTCTTCTGCCGGTCGACTGGGAAAATAGTAGTTGCTTTTCCTTCATTTCCGGAGGCATTCAACACGTGGCCAAGCCATCGCAACTATGACTTCTCAATCTGAAGAAACAGCCGTTAAAACCCAAGGCTCTCCTGGATTTTTGTACCATGGACTATATCAAGACGCGGCCAAGGATTCGTCTTAGAAGCTCATTTCAGCCACTAGTACCCGGGGATTGAAGTTTTTCAGTGATGGTCCACGATTTATGACCGTAGGTAAGTATGGAGATAAAGATCGACTTGAATACCGAGAGCTTAGTTTTCAGATTGAGCTCTGCTTCAGTCACAGTGGTTCAGGATGATTCACGCTACTCCAATTCGCCGGTCGATCTGTTCCTCCAATTTTCCATCACTAGTAAATACAGTTCCTAGGTACTTGAATTTCTCCACCTGTTCCACTGCCTCTCCGTTAATCCGAAGAGAGCAACTGGCAGGAGAACGAGAAAGCACTAGCCTTTTCGTTTTAGATGCGCTCACATGCATACCGGTCACGTCGCATTCGGCTGCGAACCTTTAAAGGAGCACTGGAGATCAGTTTCAGAAAATGCCAATAAAGCAAGGTGGTCGTCTGCAAACAGCAACTTTCTCGTTTTCACACCTCTTACATCAATACCTCATTGCCTTGGCTGCTCCTGACTATTATATCCATGTACAACACAAACAGATAGGAGAGGGGAAAAGACGCAGCCTTGACGGAGACCAGTGCCGAAACTAGAAGGTCTCATTTCTTACAGCGTAGCATACCAACAACGATAGGATAATCGGTAGGCAAGTCTGCGCCTCTCTTAATGTGAATATCCATTACAGAGTGCCTTAAACGAAACGATTATCAAATCGATTATCGATTTTGTGCGCAAGCTTCCCTGTACCAGGTATACTGATGCGAACGTTGATGCACGAAGAAAACGTTCGTGGCAGACACTACGTTATTCGCGAAAAACTGCAAATTCACTCCGTTATTGTTGAGGTCGCTAGGACTATTTTTTTCCAATCACCGTTCCAATTTTCACTCTGTTACGATATACGCATAGTAATCGCTCATTAGAATGATGCACTCTTCGATGTTCGAAGAAGATGTTTATAATAGACAGTCTGCACAAAACCGCAATAACTTCATGCCGTTATTGTTGAGGTCGCTACTGCCGTTTTTCCCAGTCACGCCGTTCCTTTTTTCAGCGTCTACTCCGACGTGCGCATTAAAATCGCCCATCAATATGAGGGACTCTGTATTCGGCACTTCGGACAGTACTTCCTCAAGGAAGGAATCATAATCTCCCTCGAAATTGGGCGCATAGACATGTGTCATGGTCAAAGCTTATGCCCCCTGTAGCCTCAGTCAGAGAATGCCACCCTTCCCCTGACAGGCTTCCAGTCAATGACTCTATCAGCCCGGCTGGGCTCTACCAGAGCACCAACACTGGCCTGAGCGCGAGTCGTGATATGGGCACGTGAGCAGAATAGCTTCCACAAGTAGAGGTTCAGAATTCCAGAGCCTTTCCGGGTCGTTGACGGACGAGAGTCCAATTATGTCGAGTTGTACTTTGCTTAGTTATCAACCAGCTTCTGCTCTTTCCTTCCTGAGTGAGGATATGTACTATTTTCCGACTCTAAGCTCCCTTTGCGATACC